TGGCTCAGTGCTTTTTTGATGTAGGAAATGACATGATGAAGGACACCACCCACCACACAGTCTCTATTAATAAAAGAAAGACGGCCAGACACTGGTCTAACCATCAAAAAATCAAGCAGGAAAACAGGCCCTAATTCCTTGGTGAGGAACTACAACACATTCATGTAAAAGCCCATGTTTAGGCTATATACAATAGGGTCAACTATTAACTAATATAATTTGACTAAGCCTCTTCTATTCTTGTATAATGAATGCTTATGTTTTATAATTGCTGCTTCTAAAATTTGTTAGTCAAGTGGAGCAAGGGACAGTGATTCTGGCTTCCAACCAATTTGCTGAGTTATTGCAGACTCTAATGCGGCTGAAAATTGCGTTTGATTCCTGGGCACTTCATATTGATTACCGATGTTGTGACATCCTAATATCTAGTCTTGCTGGTCTGTCCCGCATAATTTGCAACCATTGCAACCAATTTTGTAGATACCACCAAGACACTGTTGAGAATTCTTGATCAGAATTCTTCTGACAGTGAATTTTTAAAACTACTTGTATGTGAAATCTTTTAACCTTCCGAGGGTCAAGACGCCTGCTCGCAAACTTGCATCCAGGGTCGAAGAATTTAAAAAAAAAAAAAAGCATTTTTTTCTTATGAAATGATAGAAAATCTTTTTCTGAAGGCAATGAAATGAAAAGCATGAAATTTCAATGAAAAGTTACAGAATTACACTCTCACAAATTTAGCAGTCTCGACTATGTTTACACATCGGTGATTATGCCCACCATGAGCCCTGTTTTGGGCCAGTTCCATTGTTCCAGTCGACCAAACTCGTAGCTATTTAGCTAGAACTTTTATTCTATCGAATCTGCCCAGTTTACCTATTTCAACTATGCAATAAAGTGATCAGAAATTACTAATTTGGCCAATTTCACACAAACTTCAAGAAAGGCGAATTTCAAAATAGGGTCCAGAATAAATATTGTGAACATTCCTGGCACTAAAATAACATTTTCTCCGTTCATTAATCACATCTCCAGGTCCCTCATATTACGCTTGCTTTTCATTTTGAATTTTTATTCACACAAAAAATAGATATACTGGTATTCAGACTACTGCATATGCAGTAGACTGAATAACATTAGTGAGTGCATATTGGAGTGGCTAGTTGATGCGTATTCGACGCGTGATGTGTTTTGTTTACTCTTGAACATAGTCAAAAATCGAACATTTCCACAACTTCTAGTCTGTAAACCATTTACAATTGTCTATTTCTGTAATATATCATCCATTCTATAAATAAGACGAAGAAACTGAGAATACAGCCATAAAAAATATATAGAAATACACAGGAGAGTCACTTTTACAAAAATGGTCGCAGTTTTTCTTCTAATTCACTGTCCTGCACGATTTTTTTTATATTGCGCACACAGACTACTCAGACCCAGTCATATGTAGGCCTACCAGCTTTCTCCCACAAGATTGGAAGCCACTAGAATTTTGGCATAGTTTTACGGGACCGTTCCTGGCTTCATAACCATAATTTTACGGGACCGAACCTGAAAGGGTTGAGGGCATTTGGCAGTACACGTGTATTCTCATTGTATGGGAGAACCATCACATTCTTGATCTGAGGTGTTATCCCAATCTTAGCTCTATGATAAAAGACTATGATAAGTTTTCCTAGCTGGTAGCACCACTGATTTCATGAACTCGTTATGGTAGCACAGTTTAATGGCAATGCCATTGAGGAAGTCACGACTACACACTTGGTAAGCTCTCTTAAACTTAGTGAGAAAAACACTCCTTTTTACTCTTGTCTCAATGTTGGATTAGTAGTGAATGTATGAGCACCAAGTGGCTTTCCTGTATACTGTAAACTGTCATATTTGCTTGGACCACCACAACTTTTCACGAGAAGCCTAGAACTCCATTAAAACCTCCCCCTCCCCGGTGTTGTTGTTTTGCATCTTGTGTTGCTTATTTGCGATTTTTACACACACACACCCACACACACCCCACACACACACCCCACACACACACCCCACACACACACCCCACACACACACCCCACACACACACCCCACACACACACCCCACACACACACCCCACACAACCCACCACACCCCACACACACACCCCACCAACACCCCAACACACACCCCACACACACACCCCACCACACACACCCCACACACACACCCCACACACACACACACCCCACACACACACACCCCACACACACACCCCACACACACACACACCCACACACACACACACACCCCACACACACACCCCACACACACACACCCCACACACACACCCCACACACCCCACACACACACCCCCACACACACACCCCACACACACACCCCACCACACCCCCCACACACCCCACCACACACCCCACACACACCACCCACACACACACCCCACACACACACCCCCCACACACACCCCACACCACACCCCACACACACACCCACACACACACCCCACACACACCCCACACACACACCCCACACACACACCCCACACACACACCCCACACACACACCCCACACACACACCCCACACACACACCCCACACACACACCCCACACACACACCCCACACACACACCCCACACACACACCCCACACACACACACACCCCACACACACACACCCCACACACACACACCCCACACACACACACCCCCACACACACACCCCACACACACACACCCCACACACACACACCCCACACACACACACCCACACACACACACCCCACACACACAACACCCCACAACACACACACCCCACACCCACACCCCACACACACACACACACACACACACCCCAAAACACACACTACCACCCCACACACACACACACACACCCCACACACACAACCACCAACACACACACCACACACAAAACCAAACCACCCACACACCACACACACAACACACACCCCCACCCCCACACCACCACACACACACCACACACACACCAAAACACAACACCACACACACCCCCACACCCACACAAAACCACACACAACACCCACACACACACACCACACACACACAACACACAACCACCACACACCCCCCCCACCCCCACCCACACCACACACACACCACACTCACACCACACTACACACCCACACACACCAAACCACCACACGCCCCACACCACCACCACACATGCACCAACCACACACCCACATCACCACACGCGCCCCACACCGCGTCCCACACACGCACCCACACATGCGCACCACACACAGCACCCACACACCGACACCACACATCACACGCAACCACACACAAACACATGCTTTGTGTGTAATAAAATTTTTAATATATTATAATATATTTTTATAATATATATATAAAATTATATTTTATATTTTAAATAAATATTTATTTTTTAAAATACACACGTGATCCCCGGGGATATGAAGTTAATTTGTTGAGAAGGCGTTTGATCCCAATACCGAAGAATTTGTTCCCATTAGCAAAATGTAAATTTGATTAATTGTTTGAGATCCCAAAAAATACTTACATATTTGTTGGATTTTTTAAACTGTTGTATCCCGCACACAAACACACCACAAACACACACACACACCACACCCCAAAAAACCAAAACACCACACACACACACACACACACCAACATTAAAATTTTCAAAACCAAATTGTGCAACGAAAGGGAAATTTAAAAAGCTTTGATATCTGGGGAGGATAGGCGTGAGTAATGTTGTACCTGTCTAAAGTTTAAATGTTAAAAATTTTTTTTTTAGGGGCTTTTACTTTTTTTCAGGGGCCCCCAATGTTTGCTTTTTTTTTTTTTGAATAAAATTTTTCAATGAAAATCTTCCCCAGGTGTAGAGGTTTTGATTGTACACGCAGGGTAATTTAAAAATAATTTACTCTTTCTAAAAACCGGACACATTTGTTGTATGCGTCTTCTGAACACTGGAAATTGCCACTGGTGGCATTTATCTATTTTTTAGAAACAGACAAGAATAATTTCGCTTAAAATTTTCATTTCAAACTTCATTTCGATGCATCTTTTTAAACCCACTCACATAGGATCCCAACACGTTCCTGGAAAACTTCAACCGCGGGCGTAACTTTGAGCAGGAAGGAGTTGACTACGCTGGCCAAAGAGGCCGTGATGCTGGCCGCAGCCGCTGGGGACGCAATGACCATGATGACTACGGCCCAGCCAAGAGGGCTCGCTACTAGATGTGGATGATAGGGCTTTAAATTAATGTTGACTGTTGGCCCTCACTGCATTGGACTGCCATGAACCTTTCCATTCATACATTATTTCTTGTATAAATGACTGGTTTGGCTTGATGGGAATGGGGCAGTAAGAATTCTGATCTTGCAGTTATTGAACATGCACCAAGTATATTAAATGTTCTTTTAAGAAATTTTTTGGATACCCTCCATTGTTTTATTGCGAGTCGTGCAAAAGCTGTAGCTTTGCAAGAGATGCTTTGCAGCATGACTGGATGATGTCGCTGCATATCTTGTATCTGATGACTAGTTTTGATTACCTGTTATAATAAGAATTTTTCAGGATAGTATCACTAGAAGCCCTAGGGATTAGATTTTCATTAGTGTGACAAATATTCCATATTGGGGTTAATTGTATCATCCCAGTAGTATACTGTAGTATGTAAGTCATTATGTGCAAGTATTTTATGTCACATGGTACTAAGTATTTTGGTAAAAGCTAAGATTTTATTTTATACTCTAGTAATGAAGTTTTTTTGATAATTGTACAAAGATTTAAGTTAATCTCTTCATAACATGTATGAATATTTTATTTGTCTTAATTAATAATAAATGTAACCTTGTAAGTGGTACATGTGTAATTAGCTTGACCTTTTAAGGATTCACTTGGATGAATCAAATTTACAATGTTTCTGAGTCGAAACTAAGACTGCATAACATGTCTTTGAATCACTCTAGTATAACAGAGCATGGCTGGAACTAATA